GGGGAGAACCCGAACGCGGGGAGGAAACCGAAAGCCCAGCCCGCCGGCGGTCAGGGCCAGCTGGCGGAGAGAGCCTGGGACACCTGGCCGGCGGGGGCGGGGGGGCGGGGGGGGGGGGGGGGGGGGAGCCGGCAGACAGCCTTTTCTGGCTGGCCCTGTCCCACACCTGACGCAGACCCGGAATAGCTCACGCCCTCCACCAGGGACACAGGCCTGGTTTTAGCAGCCTGTAAAGCCAGCAAGTGCAGAGGGGTATTTCAGGGAGGCCAGGACAATATTAGCGCGTCGGGGCAATGGAATGGGGGCTGAGCCTGTGTGCGTGTGCACGGCCTGGAGCAGCGAGTGGATGGGGCCTCTCCGTCCCTCCGCTGTGTGAACGGGCTGGGTCTGGGAGCCGAGGCTGGGCTGGCTTCCGCCCTGGCTCAGTCTGCCCTGGCTGGGTGGTCGGCCCTGGGCGCATTCGTTCAGAGCTTGGTTTTCTGTCTCTACAAAATCACGTGGAAGTCTCTCGCCACTCATGTGTGAGCTGGAGCTCCAACCTGGGGGGCAGCAGTGTAGACAGTGCCTGGGTGCAGGGGTGTGTTCTCACTTATGAGATGGGAGTTCTGGCCGAGGAAGGGGCTCCCAGGGAGTGCTGTCTGACACCCAGTCCTGTGGAGGACTCGTGCCCTGTGACAATGCTTGTCCCCAGGAGGCCGCTGTGACATGTTTCTCCCTGTCTCCAGCAGCCAGCTCAGGACCCATATGGATAGGGGGTGCGCCCTCCTCTCTCCACTCAGGCCCTGTGCAGCCTGGGTGATTACTGAAGGGCACTCTGTTTCCTCGTCTGTTAAATGGGGACGTAACAGGGGACGTAGCATTCGCTCCTTAACGCAGCAAGGACTGTCGCTCTCCTCCCCCGAGGCCAGGTTTACCGTTAGCGGTTCCAGCTACTCTCCCCGTGCAACCAGTAAGTGCTCCGCCGTCCAGAGGGAGTGAAGGGGGTACAGGGCCTGCTGGTCCTGGGCATTTTGGACATGCTGTTCTGTTCGCTCTCAGAGGTGGGTGGCACCAACTGCACTGTCCAGCTAGCCGAAGCTCAGAGAGGCAGACACACTTGCCCAGGGTCACCCAGCTGGTATGTGGTGAAGCAGGGATTTGAACCCAGCTCCCCAGACTGCACAGAACTCCTCTTCTGGGAGCCCCACCCTGTACACCCGAGAGGGTGGGCTGGCCCTCTGGTGGCCAGTTTGGCTGTGGTAGGCTGTGCCGGCCTTTCTCATCGCATGGCCGCCAGCTCAATATTGCCTTCAATAATTTGGAGCCTGTAAAAAAAAAATGTGGTACCTTGTTAGGGTGTCAGGAAAATTCCGCAGAGCAGGAGCACAGTGGGAGGCGGCCGACTCTGGGATTTATGGCCCCGTGTCTGGGAGGGTGAGCCTGGCGGCTAAGGTTACCAGGGAGTCAGCAGCATATTTATAGCAGGAGCCCCGGCTCTGGGAGAACTCGGCCCCCGGAGAACTGCGGCCCATGGCCCACGCGCCCGTCCAGCGAAGGTGCCTCCTTCACAGCTGCCGGCGTTGCCTGGTTCTGCCTCTTAGGGGTCGAGAGCCTCGGTGATCCCTGCACCTGACCGAGCCTCAGTCTGAAATGGAGGCTTGTCGCGTCCCTCACTGCGCCTGGAGAAGGGACTGTAGGCGCTTGGCACGGCTGCAGAGGGCCCCTAGAGGGCCTGGCTCCATGCGTCCTGGTCGGTCGACGCCTTCTTGCCTTTGACCGTGGGGCCCACCCTCCTCCCCTCGGCAGAGGCAGACGTGGCGGGGGGAGAATGCAGGCCTCCGAGCTGTCCGCAGTGCCGGCAGAGCCATGTTTCAGTGTCCACAGGGAGAGTAGGCGGCTGTGTGCTCAGCAGAACCGGGAACGAGGTCGGCGGAGCCCGGGTTCAGATCGCCCACCACGGCTCTGCAGCCTCCGATAAGTCA